ATCAAATAAAAAATGGAGAAATAAAAAAGGGCATATGCTTAAGGTTTAGAAAATATAAGGCCTCCTATTATAAAATATTTTGGCCACCACAACAAGAGGTTCACACCACTTAACCTCCTCAACACATCAATAGCACTCACAACTAAGGATATACACTTAATTCAAAACTTTAGCTCAAATGACTAAACCTTGGAATAAAGGAATTGTGAAACAAAAATCCCTAAACTCTAAAGTGGAGTCGAGAGGGTGCCATGTGGTAGTGGCCGAAATGTAAGCCAAATAAAGGTAACACGTTTGGATTAAAAGCTCCAACTTGAAAAGTCAAGAGCGGGAGTGAAACTTCTAACGAAGGGCTTGAGGAACGAGCTCAAAGTAAGCAATAAGTGAGTCTCTAGAAAAAGGACATAAAAGAACCAACATATGACACGTAGAAGTGTCAAGATGGAGCCCGAGATGGACCCAGGATAAAGTCTGAGATGGAGTCTAAAATAGAGTCTGAGATGGAGTCCCAGATGGAGTCTGAGATGAAGTCCCAGATGGAGTCCAAAATGGAGTCTAAGATGGAGTTCGAAATGGAGTCTGAGATGGAGTTCGAGATGGACCCAAAATGGAGTTTGAGATGGAGTTCAAGATGGACTTGAGATGGAGTCTGAAATGGAGTTTGAGATGGACTGAGATCAAGACCAAGTCCGAGTCTGAGTTTGAAACCAATACCAAAACCAAGTCTGAGTGCAAGTGCGAATACTAATACAAGTTGTTGGGTGAAATCCCAAAACGATCATCCCCTGGGAAGGGCTGTAGGGGGTTCCAAAAGTATAGTAGGGAGAGTGTAGAGGTTAGACTTTAATGGAACAAATTTGGCCAGGAAATGCTAATGTGGCCTAAGAAAGCTATACCTATATGTTGGGTGATGATATAACCATTGGGAAGTCCAAAGCTAGGGTGGATATAGACAGACAAGCGAGGTAGCTTAATGAAAAACTTGGGGACTGAAAAAGGGATATTAGGGAAGGTTGTCCCCCATGTTTGCAAACATCCTAAAGATGCTAAGGAGTGAATCTAGAATGATCACTCATAGGCGGATGTCTCAGTCTTTGAGAAACGGGACTGTGCTGTACATGGTGTTGGATCACCAGTGTGATAAAGGTGAATGGGCATGGCTTTAGTGTAACGGGCTAATATGTCAATGGTACCTTTGGGTGTCAATCATGAGACCGGACACATGGAACACTTAGACCAAGTGCAAAGGTTGAATGGCATGGATGCCATTCTTAGAGCTAGCAAGCCCCAAGTCTGGATTTATGGAGGTTGTGAGTGAGACTCCTCCAAGTGGTTAAAGGTGTGGTTAAGTGATTAAAGTATAATGGAAAATTTAATCACTTCTCAAACACCAAAACTAATCAAAAACTTCATTAATGGAATAAAAGTAAAACTTTTAACTTCATGCATATGCTCACTATTTAAATTAGTATGAGAAGGATAGAAAACACTCAACTCAACATTGGGATAAAAATGAGAATCATAAGAATTATAAATGTTTAATGTGCCAAAAGAAAGATATATTATAGATGAAAAAAAACATTAGGAACATAAGAGAAAGTGGTTTAGGCTGAGAAATAAAAAAAGGTTAGGAAAGAGCAAAAGGTATAGAGAAAGGATTATAATGGTAAATTGAAAGATTAACACCTACCCTATGAAATCTCCAACTTATGTCCAAAGCTATCTTTATAATAATCAAGCTCTTCATAATAATCTGAAATCCACTCAAGTTCATAAATATTTTTTTCCTATGAACTTGATCTTTGAACATCCTCCAAAAACCAAATTACATCATTTGTAACTCTTCAATTTACATCACAATCACACTCAACATTAGTAGGAAATAGTAGGACATTGAGAATAGATAATCACATCCTATAAAAGTTGGAGATAGCAACTCACCAAGGATGGGCACAACAATATAATCACCCTTTACAACACCAAAAGTGCAATTGAATAAAGCAGCATCAGTATATAAGAGATGTTGGATATGTATATGTATATGTATATGTATATGGATATATATATATATATATATATCCAACCTAAGAGAGGTTGGATATATTAGGTGTTGGCAATTCTAATTAAAGACTGATTTTCATAATCTCATATTCCCTTGCAACACTAAACATCTAAAGAATCCAACCTCTCTTAGAATTCAGAAGTAAAAGACCTAAATGATTGTTCCTAATATCTAGCCTAAACCATGTTATATGTAGAGGGTACCTAGGTGAGTTCTAGGTCTTATAGTGTTATATATAATATTTGAGGAAATTTAAGGCTGTCTATAAGCATTCCAACCATACATGTGGAAAATAAATAAGTTAGCCAATACTAGCGGTCTTGAAAAGATCCAAAGATCTTGATGGGGACTAACACCACTCTAAAAAAAATCTTACTATCTTAAATTAGGAGATAATTCCTTTGTACCAAATGTAGCACATCTGAATTTGGAGTTAATGTAGCATATCTAAATTAAGAGTTAAAATCCAAGCCTGTTGAGGGTTTAGTAGTAAATGTATCGTAATAAATTTTAACCTTAATTAAGTATTTTATTTTTTATATATATCTCTATGTGTGTATAGTGTCTGTAAATATACATACAAGAAAAATCAAGTCTTGCATATAGATAAAAGAATATGAATTGATGTTGAGAGCTAAGATGCTAGCAAGAATAAAAACCTAAGAAGAGAAATAAGAATAAGGTATTAAGTTTAAAAATAAAAAAATACCAATAAGGGAAAAACTGTGGGATCAAACTAAAGTCTAAACATAAGAAAATGGAGAAAAGAAGAAATGACAAAAGCTAAAAAAAATAAACAAGATAAGGAAGAGAGTCCCAAACTTTTCTAGCCTTTGAACATATATAGCATTGCACTTTAAATACTTTTGTCCTATGAAATAAAGGAGAAAAAGAAGGGATGTATTGTCTAAGGATGTAAATGGATGAATAAAAAAGTGAGAGAAATACCACTATTAGTGATGACTAAAGCCTATGGTAAATCCTCATAAATTAAAAAAGAGGCAAATTATTAATACAAATAAATTATCTACACTAAAAACTAATGCTCATTAAGAGAGGTGGAATGGGATAGAAGCCACTCTGAAAGATAAACTTAGGTGCTTCTAACCAACCACTATAAATCTGAACTTGTTGTTAAATTGAAATTGCTATGCTAATCAGGTTATGGCTGTAATTTATATAATAATTAATATTTAGCTGGAACTTAGATGAGTAAGCTGAATATGGAAAATCATTGAATAAAATGTCAAGCAAGTTGTGGTGTCATAAAATGAATGGAAGTGGCATTGTGAGCAATGCTATAGACAATGATTAGAAGCAATAATAATGAGAGAAATGGTAAAATTAATGAAGAGGAAAAACTAGTTTTCTCACTTTATTTTCATGCTCCTCACTTCAAATAGTGCAATTATAGGAATGCTCTTAAACCATGGTTCTTAGCCTCAGATTATTTTTATTTTGATAAGCTGTAAAATCTGAGTTTTTTAGATCATGCTAAGAGTTTCTAGCCTAGCTCTTGTTTGGTTTTTACAAAACATTTTGCTTGGGGTTGGAGAGCACGATGAGGTTGATGATCATAAACAACCCCTTTAGCAATCCCACTGCTGCAGTAGTGCTCAAACGAAAAGAATTAAGAGGAAAACAAAAAAGCATAATGAAAAAGAAAGGGAAAGAAAGCATACAATTTAAGGTGATAATAATGTATACAAAAGATCATGTTATATCTATTGTTAAATACCATTTATAGCTTCAGGTTCATAATTGCCCCTTCACTGATTATAGGCTCTTCCATGGCATGGGATGCATGAAGAAGGGCATTGTTACAAATGTGACAAAGGTGTGCATAAATTGCATCCACCATCTTCGTTACTATAAAACTAAATTTTACTCTATGTTTAAGACAACATAAAAGTTGTTGCTCCTCAAAATCCTCAATCTTATGTTTGCTTTTGCAATTCAAAAGCTTACATGCAACAAATCTAATATCTTGTCTAATGGATGAAGAATCTGTAAAGGAGTCCCCTAAAGGCTATTCTAAAAATTTAATATTAAAACTATTTGTCGAGAAGCTACTCCCACCAAAGAAAGTGAACTTGCATTGATAAAGGTCATGGAGCCCAAAAGAATTCCTGAAATAACAAGTCAACACATTGGGATGGATATATCTCCTCCAAAAGTCTCCAAGAGTTACTTCTAGGGAAGACTTTCCTACCATCAAATACTAGCAAACCAAACTTATGAGATATATGAATTTTGATTTGCTCCAAAGGTTGAAAATCCTCCTTAGGCCTGATATAAAGCTCCTCTGTTTGTAGATCAACATTAGAATCTTGGGAATTTTTGTGATTGGTTGATCTTGACTAGGTTCTAAGAGTTCATATAGGAGGAGTAATATGAAAATATTATCAGATTTTGCAGAAAATAGTAATCAGATTCCAAAAAAGTGATAAAATTGCAATCCATAACCTTGGTTTTTGGCAACCATGCAACTAATAGAATCTATAGCTTTATGGCTCTAGTTGAGAATGCAATTAAACCTAAGTTGTAAAGGGGAATTTGTGGAGTCATGAGAAGGTGATGAAAGACTTCTAAAAAAGAAAAAGGATAAATGTAATAGGAGGGGAATAGATAGATTGTGTAAGGAATGGAAAATTATTTTTTGGAGGATAACTAAAGCAATCTATGAATATAGAACTCTTGTTATAAATCATATCTAGAAAAATGAGTGGTAAATCTAGAGGCTATCAAACATGTCAATCATCATTTTACTTCTTTGCCAATAATTTGTACAAACTCATACAAAACTAGCAAAGAAATTCTAAACACATGGTAAGGCTCAGCAAGTTGGGAGTGTATAAGTTTCTATTTGAGGTGTAGTTACATTGAGTGTGAGTTTGATAAATGCCAATGCTTTTGTGGTGATTCTGGCTTGTCTTACATGGTAGCATGGATTATGCCTGAGCCTGACAAGTTTCGAGTGAATGCCATGGTGGTGCTTATAGCTCTCTCTTGCTCAGGTACATAGAAAATGGCTGCAGGCCACAGGGATGATCAGGGAACTAAAAATCCAATAATCATAAGAATTTAAAAGCAAAAAAGATCTAGAGACTATAAAAACATGTAGATCAAATAAAAAACTAAATGTTGTTTGCTTTGAACCTTTTCATTTTTGCTCTAGAACTCACTTTGGAATTCAAATACTCCACATGATGCCTTAGCTGAAAAGTGAGGCATCAAGATTGCAAGCAACCTTGCCACACTTTCAGATCAATCTTTACTTCAATAATAAATTTACCCTAAACACTTAGAGTATATTCTAAAATACTAAATGTCCCCATGCCCATATCAAAGGAAGTGTAAGACTGAAATGCTCTTTTTTCTTGGCAGAATATGAAAAAAGAGATTATTGAGTGTTTAGAAGCACTCAAGTCATCAGAGTCTACAAGCTTTCAACAAGTAAAACAACTTCACTCTCGTATTGGAGAATCCCATGTTTTATGTAGAGACTCTCGCATAGCAAATCTTCTAATTCAAATCTATGGTAGCTTGGGATGCCTTGGCGAGGTATATTGCATTTTCAAGACCCTACACCGACCTAGCATATTATCCTGGAACATTGTCCTTGCGGCATATGCTCAAAATGGGTATCTTGAAGAAACAAAATCTGTGTTTGATCAAATGCCCGAAAGAAACATTGTTTCCTTTACTACAGTCCTTTCGGCATTTGCTAGTGCAGGCTTTCTTGACTCAGCCAAGGAAGTCTTTGAGACAATGCCCGAAAGAAACGTAGTCTCATGGAATGCAATGCTGACTGCATTTACCCAACAAGGGCATCTTGAGGATGCGCAGATTCTTTTTGAAAAGATGCCAGAACATACTGCTGTGTCATGGAATGTGCTTATCAACGCTTATGCAGAGCGAGGAGTTTTAGAACAAGCTCAACTGGTGTTTGAAAACGTTCCCCAAAAGGATGTTTATTGCTGGACTATTATGATCACTGCAAATGCCATCAAAGGAAATCTGGATAGCGCTTCTAAGCTCTTTCGAGATATGCCGCAACACAGCATTGTGACATGGACGGCCATGGTACAGGCATTTGGAGAGAACGGGAATATCCAAGAATCTCTAAATTATTTCTCCAAAATGCCCGAGAGAAACTCTTTTGCATGGACGGCATTGATCATAGCTCACATCCACGGGCGGGATTTGGATGGCGCTACAAGGACATTCCGGAATATGCCCGACCACAACATTGTTTCGTGGACGGCGATGATCCACGCGCACGCGGAATGCGGCAACATCGACGGCGCCAAGGCCGTGTACGACACCATGCCTGAGAGAAACGTGGTGTCGTGTACGGCCATGCTGGTGGCATACTCCCAGGCCGGACATGTGGACGCGGCACGTCGAGTGTTCGATTCCATGCCTCTCTACAACGTCGTGGCGTGGAATGCCATGGCGGCGGGATATGCCTTCCAGGGGGACCTTTGGACAGCCAGGATGATGATGCGCAGCTGCCCGGAGACGAATGTGGTGTCGTGGACGGCTATGATGGCGTCGTACGCCCAGTACGGTCACTTCAACATTTCGGAATCTTTCTTCCAGCGCATTCCGGGGCGGAATCTTGTCACCTGGAACGCGTTGATCGCCGCCGCCGCCCAATCCGGCCACGCACGCCTTGCGATCGAGCTCTTTCACGAGATGATCGTGGAATCGGTCGAGCCGGACGAGATCTCCTTCATGATCGCGCTCGCGGCGTGCGCCCACCTAGGGCTGCTGGATCTCGGGCGCAGCTACTTCGCGTCGATGCTGGTCGATCACGGCGGCGGCCTGGCGGCTTGCAAGGAACACTACACCTCGATGGTGGATCTCCTGGGACGCGCGGGCCAGATCGATGCGGCGGCGGAGCTGATCGACACAATGCCGTTCGTGCCCGGCGGAGTCTCCCTGGTCGCGATCCTGGGCTCGTGCCAGACGCAGCGAGATCTGCCGCGAGCGACACGGGCGGCCAGGAGATTGCTGGAGATTGATCCGCGCAACTCCAGCTCCCACGTCCTCCTGTCGAGCTCCCTCAGGAATTAGCGAGATAAGGAAGACGTGGCATCCTCATTGTCAATACTGACAACGTGGCACCGAACCGCGTCTCCACGTGGACAGCGCGCTCTTTCCCACTTACGTGTTCCTTCCTTCACGTATAAGCCAATATGTCTGTCCATTTTCAAGTAAGAATAGAGACAGGACACCGGATCGACTCCTGTCCGATTACGTAAGAAATAGACGAGCTCAGGTAATGACATGGGCGGGGGAAAAGCGATAAAAATACGAACAGCATGTCATATCTGTTTTTATCACAAAGGGATTGATGCGAAGCTTCCCGGTGGTTTGAGGGATTTTCCCCGGACAAAGGGTGCCACGGAGGGTTTTTCCCTGCCACATCAGCATCTTCCCCAAGGGAAATCCCCTTGGAAATAATAGCTGGCAAAGGGAGGGGGGCAAATATACACACACGCGAGAGAGCCGAGAGAGAGAGAGGCAATGGCGCTGATGATCGGCAATGGCGCCACACCGCGCCGGGAGTGGCAATGCCAGTAGCTAGGCGTAGCGGCAGATCACAGGGATTTCTACGCGGGCGGCGCCATAGATCAGCCAAAATGCAGGTCCACATCTCGCCTAGTATGCGGCGCATCACGATTTCTACATCGAATGGCTTCCTGGATCCCTTGAAGATCAAGGTCGCGGCGCGCTACCTCTCGCATCGATGCCTCTTCTGGTCGATTCTGTTCCTTGCCTTTTTGCTGCCTTTCATCTTCATTACCACGGCGCTCATCACGCTCGAGGAGGTCAACAAGTGCTCGTCAATGTGTAAGCTCCTCGATCCTTTTCTTGCGCCAATCCATCGTTCTCCCTTTTTCTTTCTCTCTTTTCTCTCTCTCTCTCTCTCTCTCTTTCTATATTTCCAATTAGCTATAGAAAACGCGTGGTGCTGCGATGGATTGGCTCTTTCCCGGCGCAACGCTTGGATCTTTCGATCGACTGATTGGCAACGCTTGGATCTTGGTTTTGCAGATTGCTTAGGGAGGAAAATAGGACCCAAGCTTCATTGGAGGAGCGATCCCACGGTGAGTTCTTGTCGAGCACTCTTCTTTTTATTATTCGCGGCCGCTCGGCCGTGGTCAAACAGTAGAGACGCGTAGTAACGGGATTTTTTTCTATGTGGGCAGAGGCAATCCAGACATGTCCACTCCATCGTCATGCAAGCGTCAAAGTCGGATCTCCCCGCGGGCGAAAACGTGCCAGAGAGTTTTAGTGAGTTTGTGGCCGAGGTGGAGGCGAATCGCTACGATGGCAAGACGTGCATTCTAAAGCTCAAGGCTATGGTAAGTTCTTTGTCCATGATTTTCCTCTAGAAGTTCTTCATGTCTTTGTTCTGCCTCACACAGTTGGAACTTCAAGAGCAACGAACGAGAACTGCTAAGCTGCAAGAAGCAGTATACAGGCATTTTGCTTCTAGCGGGATTCCAAAGAGTATGCACTGTCTTGCGTTAAAACTTACTGCCGAGTACTCGTCCAATGCTAATGCCAGAAGAGAGCTGCCATCGCCCGAGCTTACGTACAGACTGACCGATCATTCTTTCCACCACTTTGTCCTGGCCACGGACAATGTGCTCGCGGCCTCTGTGGTTGTATCGTCGGTCATTCGAAACAGCGCGCAGCCTCAGAAGGTGGTGTTCCACGTTGTGACTGACAAGAAGACGTATGCTGCGATGCATGCGTGGTTCGCTTTGAATCCGCTGCCTCCTGCGATCGTCGAAGTGAAGAGCTTGCATCAGTTCGAGTGGCTCACCAAGGACAACATTCCGGTTCTGGAGGCTATGGAGAATCATAGCGACATTCGCAGATACTACCACGGGGATCATACTGCTGGTGCCGACTTAAATGTTTCTCCGACCATTTTAGCATCGCGGCTGCAGGCTCGAAGTCCCAAGTATATCTCCATCTTGAACCACCTGAGGATATATCTTCCAGAGGTAAGCTTTTGCTGCGAAATTGAGATCATTTATTGACCGGTTTCTTCTTTTGTTCTCGGCAGCTGTTTCCTGAGCTTGACAAAGTCGTGTTCTTAGACGACGATGTCGTGGCTCAGAAGGACTTGTCTCCATTATTTGGAATCGATCTCAATGGCAGAGTTAATGGAGCCGTAGAAACCTGCCGAGGGGAGGACCCGTATGTTATGTCCAAGAGGTTCAAGACTTACTTCAACTTCTCGCATCCTCTCATAGCAAATCACTTTGACCCGGAAAAATGCGCCTGGGCGTATGGGATGAACGTATTTGATTTGCAAGCTTGGAGGAGAACGGACATAACCAAGACATATCACTACTGGCAAAAGCAGGTTCGTTTGTCTTGCCATTACAGTTTGTTTTTTGTTTTTTTCTTCTCTAACGCATGCTGTCTGACGTTGTTTATAGAATCTCAACTCTAACTTGACACTATGGAGACTAGGTACTTTGCCTCCGGCACTGATTGCTTTCGATGGCTACGTATATCCTATAGACTCCCAATGGCATATGTTGGGCCTGGGTTACCATGTCAAGAGCAACCTGGACAGCGTTCAAAAGGCCGCTGTGATTCACTACAACGGGCAAGCAAAGCCGTGGCTGGACATCGGGTTCTCAGTGCTAAGGCCGTTTTGGACGAAGTATGTAAACTACTCGAACGAGTTCATTAGGCGGTGTAATATTTTGGAGACTTAGGACGAGATGCCATCTCTGTTCATACCATTCTTTGGAGGAGAGGTACCGCAGCAATTATCATCGTCATCTTCGTCATCGTCATCTCATCCACACGGGAATAAAAGGATTTAGCAGCAACTTTTTTTTTAAGCTCGGTCCATCGTCGTCACGGTGAAAGAGGGTCGTTACTTCAGTGCTACTGGCTGCCGCCATCACGTTTCTTTGCTTGGTTTTAAGAAGCGAGAGGCAGGCACGCAAAGCATCGAAGATTTTGAGATATATTTCAGTGAAAGAAAAAGAGGTGAAGTTACTGGTTTCCAGGTAACCAAAAGAGAGGTCGCTCAATTATTTCGGTTCGGTGCATTACTTTGATACTTTCTCCTTTCTTTAACGACTTGATAGTGCTTGCAGTGTCTTAAAAGAGTATTTTAAGGACTCTCGCTACTTTTAAGTTGCGCTTCTACTGGACAGCACACATGAAAAGAGGCATGCATTGTGGGCGCAAGGCAACGGGCTTAATGACGAGAATCCAAGGTGCGTGAGTGAGCTTTACTTTTCTTTCCAGTTGCCAGGATGTAAGATAACTAGTAGTGGCGAGAGACCGCGACACATATTTTATGCTGCAATAAGCAGACAAATGTGTACTGGGACCAGCCTTTCAGGATTCTGATTGCAGCAGCATGTTCACATCACGACGACTTAATGGTCTCGAGGAAACGTTTTCTCACCTTTATCTTGGAAGCTCCGTACAACAGTCTCCCGGAATGCAAAAGTAGGGAGCATCAGCAAGCACAGGGCAGAGAAAGAATGGGCTCGAAAGGAAAGATTTGTGGAACAATTTGTCCTGGCGCTACTTACCAGTACTTTTCCTTTAGGACTCGGATGTGCCGGTGTTGCTGTTCTTGCTGGATGGGATGGAACAAATTCTCAAGGTACTCAAAACAAAACATATCTTTTTTATTTGCGACCTTTCTCATTATCTTGCTGCTTAGGTGGTGACGGTGCTGTCGGTGCTGCACCACCTGTTGTAGGCCTGCAAAAGGAAGAAGGTTGTGATCATGAGACTATCAAATCAATGGGATGTAGTGTATAGTAAAGGGATGAAGAAAACAGGCAGACAGGCAGGGGGGCAGGCAGGCTCGAAGAAAATTCAAGGCTCAGCAAAGCTCAGTTCAGCAGGGATCAGGGAACTTACAATCCAACAAAAACTTTGAAGGCGTCGTAGATCCCCCATTGTGCTCCTGTCAGCGTCCCGACCATGACAATCCGGAGAGGGAGACCTCTGGTCATCAAGCCAACGAGTCCCATCTTTTTAATAGCCTGCAAGCGAGCAACGTGATAAGAATGATTGGTGGTTTTATACCACAGGTGTTAGTACCAGCAGCAGCAACAGGTGTTTAGAAGGATTTTCTAGCGACAGGATTATTTAGGATAAGCTGACTTACGTCGCCGACTGTTCCGCCTTTGGTGCTGTTGAGGAAGGAGACGAGATTGTCTGCCGGATGGGAAACTACTGCACAGAAAATACCAGCAATGTATCCGGCTGCGAAGCTAACTTCCAGTTGCGTGAGCTTGGAGCATTTCTCCTTTGGTACCGGGACGACGTACTTGTAGAGGGCCTCCACCGTGCCTTCGAAGCAAGCAAACTTCATCATCGTGTCTGCGAGGAGATAAAGGGGAAATAAGTTATGGTCAGGATCCAACTCAGCAGGTGGAAGGAATGGATCATTACAGGGAATTTGTCGACCCCACAGTGGCGCAAGTCCCTTGTACAACCTGCGATACATTCAAAGGACACTCACGAGGTTAGTCGCAACTTTATATTATCATTTTAAGGTGTGTTGTGACTTTGCTTTTAATGTTTAGTTGGAAGCCGCAAGAATGTACCCGCCGTATCCTTCTTGTGCGACAAACTTCGAAAACCCATCCCTCAGTCCGTTAGCAAAGCCGGGCTTGGTCTGCACACGGACCTTGATCGCTTCGAACGGGCACAGAGCGATATCGGCGAAAAACTCCGCGGATGCTGAGCCGGCCAGGTAGACGAATGTCTTGTAGTCGTGGGCGACTTCCTCTCCAACCATGTCAGCGTAAAACTTTTTGAAAAACTCGTACAGCCCGAACTTGCAGGCTCCCTGTGCGCTGTAGCCGATGAGAGTCGGCCCCCAGCCTTTGAACAGGCCCTTGGGACCTTGCTCCTGTTTGATGATGGAGAATCCGGTCCCTATGCTCTTATACTTCTTCGGATCAATCTGTAAGTGGTTTTGAAATTTTATTTTTTTTAGTTTCTCCATTCGTTGTTTTAACTCTTCTTTTCAGGCTCGTACCTGCATGTTACACTTGACGATGTCCAAAGGCGTCACGAAAGTGTGGGTGAGGCCGCAACTTAGAATCCCTCCGGCGGTGCAAGCAGCGTAAAACTCGGCCGAGTAGAGTGGGATCTTCCCCGGCTCGCTCGCCGCAGGTATGAAGAATCCTCCTCTTTGTCCATCCGCTGACACCGGTGGTGCGTTCTTTCTCTCCCCGCCAGGACGCAGCATCGCTCTTATGCTTCTCGGTGGCGAGAAAATCCCGGACAAAGATTTCCGCCATGAGGAGAGCCGAGTGGGACTGGACGATGGCGGAGAAGGCGACAGCAAGTCCGAGCTTGCGGAGGGTCTCAGGGAAGAGAAAGCGCTGCTGTGGTACAAATGCGTGGGTAAGTACGGCCTTCTCGTCGTCTCATCCCTGTGAGTTCCAACTCCCAACATTCTTGGAAGTCTCAGGCTGCCAGCGTCTGGGCCCCTCCTGGAAGATTTGCCATGGAATCGTCCTCACCTCTCTGCCTCGCGAATCAAAATTCTGTGCCATCGATCGCCACCAAATCCATCGCCCATGTCGAGAAAAATTTGTTCCACTTCGGGTCTCTTAACCGCCAATCTAGGTTAACATAAAAACTCAAACTCGTTTAAGTTATTTGAAAATCTCCCGCGCAAAATTTGTCCACAGCGCTAAAAAAATTTTATATACTGTGATGACGCTTCTCACGAGGACAGCTTCCGTGCCGCCGCCTTTCTCTTTGTACTGTCCAGATACTTTTTACGAAGCCGGATTGCTTTGGGAGTCACCTAGAAAAAAAAATGCAAAAAAGAATAAAGATTGGTTTTCTCCCTTTCCAATAAAGCAATTACCTCAATCAGCTCGTCCGCTGCAACGTATCCAATAGCTTCTTCCAGAGTGACCTGACCAACGAAACAATTTGCGTGTAAGTGATCTCTACCGAAACAAACGCAAAGCTCTTGTTACCAGTCTCGGGGGAGTGAGCTTGACGTTTTCATCTTTCCCAGGAGCACGTATGTTTGTCAGCTCTTTCGCTTTCACAGGATTCACCTGCAAGTTTAGTGGCTGTTAGCGGCGGAAATTTTTCGAAGAAGAGTGCAGTGATTTACGTCGAGGTCCGCGTCTCTACAGTGTTCTCCTACGATCATGCCTTCGTATGCCTGTGGGCGTTTTTGCCAGAGAAGGAAGTCAATCTCGAGTTTGTTTAAAAACTTACCTCGTCCCCCGGTGGAACAAACATGGTGCCTCGAGACTCTAGTCCCATTAGAGCATACGCGGTGATTACTCCTTGTGCAGTGGAGACCTGTGTAAACAAAGACAAGCTGATTAAAGCGCGTGGTAAACTTCGAGAAGACTTACCAAAACTCCTCGCCTAACATTTCCAACTGGACCTCGAAATTTGTCATAAGCTACAGGAAGCCAGGTACAGAAAGTCAGAAGGGAGAAGAGTTAAAAGAATATGGCACTGACATAAGAAAGCCCGATGCATGAATCCTGTGCCATGGGTGATGGTGCTAAACGAGCTTCGATAGCCGACCAAGCCTCTGTTTATAATTTTACTTCAAATAATTAGTCAAAGCTCAAACCATCTGAAATACTTTACCTTGATGGACAAGTGAAAGTCATTGTAGTGCGACCAACAGACTCGGGGCATGGCGACATGTCAAGAAGTTCGGCACGCCTGTGAGTAAGGGACTCGATAACTGTTCCAGAATGTTCATCGTTCACCTGAGATGGTTTAAGTCAATCTCTATAAACACTGTTCCACATTTGAAATACCTCGATTCGAAGTTCTTCTATAGGTTCTAGCTTTTGGCCGTTTTCAGTCTTATAGCTGCAGGAAATACACAGGATAAGAACCGTTTATATAACGAGAACGAAGTATCGCTTACAGAACTGCGGGTGGCGAAACAGATAGCTCAAAACCTTCTCGTCGCATGTTTTCTATCAAAATTCCTGCACCGGGAAACGTCTCATCAAACCATTCTTAAAAAGAAAAGTAAATTACCGAGTTGCAGCTCGCCTCTGCCCTGTACTTCATAAGCGTCATTCGAGGTTGATCTGAGAACCTTAATGGACACATTGGATTCTTCTTCAGCCTTTAAACGATCGCCAATCTTGGCTCCTGTGAGCTAACAATGAAAAGCTAGTATCAACCAAATCAAGCAAATCTTGGCAGCTTACTTGTTTTCCATCCTTCCCCGCAAGCGGTGAATCATTAACACTGAAAGTCATAGATATTGTCGGCGGGTCCACTTTCACCGAAGGTAAAGCTTCCTTTACCTGCATTGTGCGTGCACTGGTATAAAAAGCTTGTCGAGAAAAAGTAGCAACTAACCTCCACTGAAGCCACACTATTCCCAATATATGGTTGAGCAAGACCCGCAATAGAAACAATATCTCCCGCGCCAGCGCAGTCGGCCACTTCAGATGCAACGCCTTTCTTTTTCAAAATCTTGACAATCTGCTCGTAAAAGTGTAAGTCGCAGCTCTTTAAAACCAAAGGACTTACTTTCCCTTCGTTGAATGTTTCGCTGACATCAGTGTCTTCCTTTTTGCGTATTCCATGGACTCTGTCACCCGGTTTCACAGTCCCTGAGTAAATCCGTCCAGTCAATATGCGGCCAAAATATGGATCATGCTCCATCATTGTGACCTGCGCTACTTGTGAAATAAAGGAAAACATCTGAAACTACACTGCCTCTTACCACCATTTGAAATGGCGCATGTAGATCACACTTTGGTGGAGGAACGTATTTTACAATTGTATCGAGCAGCGGAGCCATAGTGGGTTCTCCTTCTGGTGCCTTTGTGAACGTAGAAGAAGCCCATCCCTCCTTGGCAGAAGCGTACAAAACTGGAAAGTCTAGTTGCTCCTCTGTAAAACAAGGAAGAAGAAAAATTAAACGAGTGAAGGCTGGGTAAAATTACTGCTTACCGGTAGCACCAAGGTTTGCAAAGAGATCAAAAACCATGCTTTCCACTTCTCCGCACCTTTCTTCCGTAACTAGAGAATGAAAAAAACAAAAGCATCACAATTTTTCCAAGGAGTCGTATCTACATACCTGACGGACGATCGACTTTGTTGAGCAGCAATATAGGGCGAATCCCCGATTTTAGAGCTTTGGCGACCACAAACTTTGTTTGTGCAAGCGGCCCCTCGCCAGCATCGACAACGAGCACAGCTCCATCAACCATACCAATAACTCGTTCAACCTGTCAAAAGAAGCAAGAAATTTCTAAACAGGAACGACGAAGAAACTTTCATACCTCTCCACCAAAATCTGCGTGACCAGGAGTATCAACAATGTTGAGAGAACTGGTTCCCCAGATCATAGAAGTATACTACCAAGAGCACACTCTTAGCGCAAGAAGGAAAAAAAAAAAAAAAACGAATGCATACCTTGGAAGCAATTGTGATACCACGCTCCCTCTCGAGCGTGATGGAATCCAAAGTTCTATCTCTGGCGACAATTGCCCCGCACTGCCTGAGAAGCCTATCCATGAGAGTCGTCTTACCGTGATCGACGTGCGCAATCACAGCCAGATTCCGGATCAAAGAAGGGCTCGTCACTCGCTCCGCCGGATTCGAATCCGCGGAGGCGGCGGCGGCCACGGCGAAATGCCTGCTCCAGCGCCACAACGCCGCCGCCCTGGAGCCGCAGAATCCATCGGCAGTGGCGCTCCACAGCCCCCTGCGCAGCATTTCTCTCCCGCCGAGAGAGAGAGAGATATTTCCCACCCTAGGGTTCTTGGCAGGGTTTATGGACGAGAGAAGAAAGAAGAATAGCGCGACTAGTGAGAAGCATGGATCCTGGGCTGCCGATTCGAGCAGCGCGCAGGTAATGCGAGGCGCGAGCTCTGCCAGGGATCGAAATTGACCATCGTTGACTTTTCGTCGTCTCTTTCAGTCAAACCCCAGGAATTTTTCTAAAGGCAAAAAGTAAACCAAAAGTTTAATGTTTTGTTCCTTTTATGTTTCTATTTAACTCTGATCTGTGAAGTTATATTTCCAATGTCCTTGCGCGAAAAGCTCTAATGATGTTTCTAGATGATTTTATTTCCTAGCTGGGAGAGAGAGCTCTAATGATCTGCGAAGTTATGTTTCTAGATGATCTTATTTCCTTCGATCTGTGAAGCCAATGATCTTATTTCCTTGATGAGAGATTCTAACTTATCATCTTTGGTCGTGAGGACTTTAACTCAATTGCCCGATCGGTGAGTCAAGCCGGAGGCGTGCGTTGCTGTTCCCGTGCTCACCTCTGGACGCTGCTCGTTGGCCTTGAATCGCTCCACGGCCGAGTCCATGGTGGTGCTTACATGCTCGCAGATGGCCACCATGTCCAGCAACGCATCCTTGAAAACCTCCTTGGCTGGCGCACCTTTTCAACATTGAAATGATCAAAAGCATCACTCTCGTGATCAAGAACTTTGGTTATAACATGAGGAACAATCTACCTGTTGTTTGGACTCTCACATTCACCTTGTTCTCGGACGGGTGAGGGACGCTGTAGCCACAGAACACCACCCTAGGGCTGCACACAGAGAAAACAGAATCAAGAATTCATTCCTTTCATGGCTATTCAAACTCTTTGTTGAGGAGGAATCGCAACGAGTTGCCCAAGGTGTGATCTTCGCCATTGAAGCAGAATGTCGATGAATGGGACTCCTCCGAGCCAAGCTCCATGGCCGAAAGCGCTCTAATTCAAGAGCTAAGGCTCCAATCTCACAAGCAAACCAAGAATATTTTAATTGTCATGAGAATATGCTGGACGTAACTCTCGAGTAGATCGTCTGTTCTTGTCAAGTGGTGGCTGATGCAAACGCTTTGCCAATACTAGCAAAACTTGTTTGACCAAATGAGAGGGACATGGGTCTTGATCAACGATAATGACATACATACTTAATACATAACAATAAACGTACAGACACAGATAAATGGTAGATTTTTCACTACTTCTCCAGCAACGACGACCGGGAAATCCTAGCGTGTGCATTTTTCGCCTACACTACAATTGCATAAGCTTTCGAAACAAAAGGTGTGAATGATTTTACCTGGTTTTCCCAGTTCATAAAAAATGTGAGGAAGCAAAGGATTATCGTCTGAGTCGCGTTTCCGCAAGCTATTCCAATCCACAACCCCTGAACATATATGTAGAACACGAATATTAAGGATCACAAGTTTGTGTCGTCTTACCATCCCATAGAACTTAAAAACAAAACCAAGAACCACGGCTGTCGGCAAGCCAACAACGTAGAAAGCCGTGAGATTTGCCAAAGCTCCCACGGCTTGCCATCCGCAACCTCTGACGACTCCTATATGTAAAAAGGTTGATCACAAGCGAGGATTACTTGGAAGCATAAATTACCTCCAAGCACGCATTGGATGGGATCACAAGCTGCGATGAGAAAGGCCACCTTGAGCAAGCTTGCAATGTGTTCGACCACGTCCGTTTCGTTACTGTAGACCCATCCGATGCTTTTCCGAAATGCTAGAAACACTACCACCGACAGAATCGAGTTCAAGGCCGCCATGCACAAAGTACTCCCACTGCTGATTTTGCGACCAAGTGATTTCCAGCTCCAAGCTCATTTGCAACACGAGTGCTGGGTCGAAGAA